AATAGTTCACTTTCCTGACTTCTTTGGCCTCTGGCCTTCTCTTCAAGATTTATTCATTACTCTTCATTACTTTGTTTCAGGTTTCTCCTTCTTCTGGTTCCTACAGTCCCTTTTATCTTAGCTTCCCTAGGTCCCAGGACATGTTTCTATGTAAATATACTTGAGACTTTCCTCCCCTTATAGAAGCTGGATTGCAATTAAGTTCCCTGAGTAACTGCACGTTCCAAGAACCAGAGAACTATTGTGAAATCGAACATGTATCACAACATCAAGAAGCTTTGCAGAAAGATAGATAGCCCTATTTGATGCAAGAATATGACCACTAGTCACAAGTTATGCCTGAGACCAGGAAAGTAAATAGGCTTAGAAGAAAAGCAGATTTCTGAAAGTTCCATGAAAAGTTAAGGAGACTGCAAGTGACACTACAGGGAATTAAAGATATCCTGTGTACAAATCAGGTTTTCTATCATTGTGCTATGGTTCACACTACTAAAAGAAGAAACATAAGAATTTTGCTTGATTAGACTCGAAGAATAGGCAGGTGCCTTCCAGATGTTTTGGATAACTTCTCTTAAAATCCAACCACAAAGTCAATGTTTTAAAATTCTGGGCATTTCATCAAAAACACATGGTAGAAGCCAAATTACCAACCCCCCTAGTCTATTATTCTGTATCTAACAGCAGCCAATTGCATTTTAACTTGTGCTATTAACATCCTGCCTTTCATCCATGAAATTTAAAGCAGCGTCTATAGGGCTTCTTAGGCAGACCACAAAAATGCAATAATGTCAACAGCCCCTACCCACTGCTTGTTTTCAGCAACTGGCTTTCAAAGAACCCACCACCCAGACACAAATTTACTGAGCTGCTCTGACCAAAATCCATCGATACCCTCTCCTCCAACACGAATGTATCCAAATCTCTTCCAAAATGCTTTCATCCAGCAATCAACACATTTTGAAACGATGACTGCAGAGAATGTTACTAATCAGTAATGCCTCAAATACAGGATACAAGGATATCTCTAAGTTTATTTGCACTGCAGCCAAAATATTCATTAGTGGGCCACCAGGTTTGTTAGAAAACTCTGGCAGTGCCTAACAATGCCAGATGCTGAAAAAAGGCATGACTGGATGTCTTCATTGATACCATTTAGTTAATGTTCTCTTTCCATAATTGTAAAGTAGCTGACTTTTTCCCCCTTTCTTTTTGAATTAAATTCAATCAGCACACCAATGACTTCTCAGTGTCATAAGCTCCAAGCTGAAATATGAAATCCCCTGGAAGTCTTCCACTTCAGGACATTATATAGAAAACAAAATGGCAGCTGGTTATGAATAGTCATGTTGATAGGACAAATGTCTCTTCTCCAAGTGGAATAATGTAACATTAACAATTGTGTTATCTTATAAACTCTTGCTTGGGTACTTGACCTTCTCATCAGGAAAAACCAGAGTTGGGAAGAAATTTATATTTCTAGTCATTAGAAGATGGGCTTGATACTTAAATGCTCTTCTAGCTAGAAGGAACAGTTTAGGATTTCTTCCCATGGAGAAACACTCCTTCATTCAGTTTTACGTACTGATTTCAGCTAAGTGTGATTTAGCTCCTCTTTTATCACATACACACAACCAACTTTTAGTGGGTAAGATCTGTGGGAACGGAAGAACAACGTGTAATAGTACAGATAGTCCTCGCTCAACAACCATTCATTAATGGACTAGCCACCAATGCAGAGATTGGATTATCTTGTTTGGCGCTGTTCTATGCCCAAGGGTCTTATGATCTGATCCTGAAATAGAAGAGGGAGCCCCTGTAGTAGCCTGCACTGGAGGCAGGCACATGGAACTAAATCCAGGGCTGCAATCATCATGTTTAACAGCTTCATAGGAGTCAGCCTTCTATTTCCTAGCTTAAAGAAAGAGATCCTAGCTTAAGGAAAGAGATCCTAATATATAGGATATGGGGTAGGAACCACTTCCTCTCCTCTGTGTAAGACCCACTTGGGTGATGCCAGTTAGATTCATGTAAGGCGATAAAGAAGGCTGGAGGTTGGCAAGTAGGTATAACCATTTCCTTTGTGTTCCTAAATGGGCCCCAAGAGTTGTTAGCTCAATGGGTGCTGATGCCAGGCAAAAAGGTAAGCTCTGAACTGAAACTGATTACTCCTATATGTAAACCTGAGGATTGGACTCTAACTGGGACATGAGGAAACAAATCTAAGGAACTAGAAAGTAATCCAGTAGAATGGCTTCGCTAACTGATTGCAATGTTTCCATCTTAAAGCTTTGCTATCTAATGAAAGAGATTCAAGGTTCAGAATAGCTCTTATCTCCACTTTATTTAGGCACCATAAATGAGAACCATGATTGAGAAGGCTGTGATTGAGAGAACCATGATTGAGAAGTGTACGCACTCTGTTGTGCTCATGTCCCATGAATGCTTTATTTACCCATTCATTCTGAGATGAACTTGGAGATAGGGGATGGCATAAACCTATCTTCTGCCTTTCTTCTGAGTTCTACATTCCTGAGAAGCCATCTCTTCAGCAACTATCTGTTCTGGCAGGTGTATTTTCCAGTGTGCCAAAATGTCTGCAGTTGCATGTCTACCTGATAAATAATGGTGTCATCCTGAGGGAAGTTTAATTTGGTTCTTGCCTTTTCTGCCTGGCTACTGGATGGGTGTTTCAGGTATTGAGGCTGGGAGCCCCAATGTATGCTTCCTGATCTACTTCCTGTTTGAAAGAAGTTAAGTATTTTGACCTTTGCTATTAAAAGATGAGTAAGTACTTCCCTTATGCCTTCTTACCTTCTCCCTCAGTGCTATAGGCAAGACTTCTAATCCAGTCTGATTATCTCCTTGAACAGCTTCTCTCCCAAGAAGGACTTTGTTGGATTTTGATCCTTGTGGCCCAGCTTAGTGAAATTAGTCTCTGATGGGAAGAGGATGATAGCTGGAAAATATTTCCTAAGGATTCCCAGCCTGTGGAATAGATCATAGAAACAGGGAACCTTCTCCCTTGCTGGCAACACTGAAAATGAAGCTGCAGTGTTCTCACTCCTTTGGTTCCTTCCTGCCTCTGAATAGGTAGGTGATGAAGGTGAATAGGAGTCTCTCGATGGGCTTTTGGCAGTGAAATGGCAAATCCCCTACAAACAAAGGGGTATGGTCTCCTCTTGCCATACTATTATTCAGCTCTGGGAACAGCATCATAGGATTCCTATGTCCTGCATAGAAACCAGAACCTAGCAAAAGTGTATCCTTTCTGTCTAGTTCCTTGGCCACTATGCCAGCTCATACCTCTCTAGGGTTTTTCTTGCAGGTGTTTTCCTCTAACAAGCTCCACATTCAGCATTTGGCTCTCCTACCACCATTCTCTCGGTGGGGAAAAGGGAGATCTAGTTTATTTTTGCTGAGGCTTTGGGGTTGCTGCCACAGCACTCTTTCTGACCTCTATCCTGGAATTGGTTGCTGGAGGATCTCCATCAGCCTGTTACATCTCCTGCCAACTTGCCTGCCTGCTTTGGTAGTGACCAATTCATAATTGGCTTCAGCCGTCTGGTTAGCTGACCTGACTTTCTCTCCTAGTGCTGCTTCTCACAAAGATTTGGGGGAGAGTGTTCTTTGCAGATGCTAAAGAGTCACCAACGTGGCATCTCCTGATGCCTAGTTTGCTGAGAGGGGAAGAGTTCTGAGCAGTTTTCAGCCCTGATGTATTGTGGGTAGGCTCAAAGCCTCCATGCTCTGCTCTGTCACCTCAGAAAGCCCAGTTTGGATTCTTCTCCCATCTCCTAGACTATTTTCCTGGCCTGGCCACTTGAGATACTGCCTCTTGCGAAGACAACTCATCAGTGGGTATGTGTCTGACAGGAGGCGTTTTCACACAGCATGGGGAACACTGGCTACCATTATCTCCTCCTCTTTCTCTTTTATTCACAGCTCTGAAGATGGAGCCAACAGAAAGCCATTTTTTCCTCTAGAAAGCAGAACAGAAAGGAGGGAATTTATTTCTTGGATAGGAAGAGGGCTTAAGCTTTACCTTCTAAATAGAAGTTGCATAGGGTCCACCTCACTCATTTTAACACCATATTCTTTCAAGCTCTTGCTCATCTGATATTTATTGAGCCAACCCTTGCCCTACACTGGCTATTACTACTTCAGTCTTGGTTTTGAGTGCTAACCAATTTGACTTTAACAATGTCCACATTAAAACTCAGTCAGTTACAGAAAAAAAGCAGCCCCACCACAAACACAAGGAGCAACGTAACACCTACAGTATTTCAAGCAAGAAACATGCATTAAGCCTTCAAAGTGTTAAAAGTCTCAATGCTTCTTTAGCACATCCTTCCCCAATCTGGTACCCTCCAGATATGTTGAAATACACCTCTAATCATCTCCAGTTTTGGGGACAGATTGGGAACAGTGCCAAGTTGGCAAAGGTTACTCTGATTTCACAACAGATGATGGGTGTTTTGTATTTCAACCCCCACCACTCCCATAGCTAGAAATTCATGGGCTGATCCTGATATCAGAGTCTGGAGTCGGAGGGTAAAGAGACTGAACTGGAACCCTCTTGAAAATCAGGCACCCATTACTGAAAATCACCATGAATTTGTTGGGAACAAGTCTTCCTAAGTAAACTCATCTAATTTTTTTGCAATCTATCACCTTCTTCCATAGATTATAGGAACGCTGTAGACATAATATATCTTGATTTTGGCAAATGGCTCAAAAATCGTACTCTGGCTGTTCATCGATGGTTCCTCGCTAACCCAGAGAGAGGGATGAAAAGAGATGCTACAACCCATAAGACACCCCCTCACCCCCCACCCAACCCCAGGAAAGAAACACCTCATTCTACAGCGGAGCGCGACGCCTGTAAGGCCGTCCGTGTGAACTCTTTGACGCGGGTCTGTTCCCAAGGAGGAGGAGGAGGAGGAGGGACCCCCCCCCCACCCGGAGGCCCGAAAGGGCGGTGAACGGGCTCCTTCACTCACCCTCTCATGGTGAACTTAGCCACCGCCAGCCGGGAGCCGGCAGCGCTCAGCTCGCTCTGGAAGTCGGCGTCATTAGCGATCACCTTCACCCCGACCATCCCGGCAGCGACTCACGGGCGGCGGGGGCTGAACGGCAGGAAAGCGCCGGCGGCGGCAGGAGTGGCACCCCGTCGCCCGGTATCTGCACAGTCACCGCGGGAAAAAGGGGGAGGGCGCACGCCCAGCATGCACCACAACATCTTTTGCGCAGGCGCGCGCAGCCCAGCCCTTTCCCTCTCCCTCCTTAACCTCTCCCGAGCGAGTCATTCAGGCTCACGGATAGAGTGGCGAGGGGGGAAAGGTTGGGCAGAGCCAACTTCCGGTAAGCGTGAAAAACAAAAGGAAGGCCGCCGCGGACGACGATTGTGCGCAGAGCGTCGCCGCTCTAAGCGTGACGCCTCTCTATGGTGAGCCGCCAGTTCGAAGCGGGGAAGATTGAGAGCGGAAGGCCTCCTCGGTTTTAGGCGGAAGTCAACTTGACCAAGGCTGGAGCCCTTGAAGTTCTAGAGAGTAGCAAGTTTGCCATCTTGGTTGTGGGCACGAGGTTTCTGGAGCTGAAATACCGGTCCCATGGTGGGATTTTGGAGATACGGAAGCTTTAGGAACCATCTTAAGTTTGGGCTATACAGAACCGGAGTTCTTCTGCTCCACCCCTTTTTGGATCATCGTAGTTGTTTTTTTATACAGAATGGCTCAAAAAAAAAACCCCAGACCTTTGTGGGACGCTGTTTTGAAAATGTGCTTTCACTAGGATTCCTTTAAAATCTAGCTCACTCACATTATTGTCCTCAAATGAGTGTCCTTTTTCCTTTAGATGAAGGTAATAACGTTCACATTTTGGACAGAGAAAATAGGTGGTTTGGGAGAGGAGGGAAGGAATCTGTTTGTGCCAAAATGGAAAATCCTTCCCTCAATAGAAGTAGAGGCCTCAGATGCAACTTGTCTCCCATTTTTCATGCTGCTCTTTCATCAGTCCCCAGGAAGATTAAGACCACTCCACAAGGAGGCAGCACTTAATGACCCACTTGGGGATGAGTGAGGGATTAGGAGCAAGACAGCCACATCCCAAAGACTCTACTAATCACATCTTCTATTGTCCCCTCAACGAGCCCATCATGCCAGTGAGGAACGCAGCCACCCTGGAAGACATTTATGGGGTCCCCCCAACCAACTTTCTAGACTGAAGAAGCTGCTTGAATAAGCAGCGAAACATATCAAACCAAAAAGAAAAGAAGTCCAGTTGCCATGACTCAGCCTCCAGATAATTCCACCTGGATGTCTGAGAATCTTCATCAACAATGGGCAACCTTTCTGACCTTTTGCTTAGAAGAAATCAGCAGAATGTAATTTCTGAGTAATAAAAATGATAAGTCTGCAGCGCGTGCTGCCGTGTTTACTAGTGTGAAGCACAGTGGCTCGGAGAAGATTTGCTGGAGAGTAAAGAAGCATCACGTTGGCAGCTTCAAGTCCACTTCTGTACAGGGTTACTTAGAAATTCCCACTTAGTGAACTTACTGACATGTACATGCAACTGCCCAGAGCTGCTCTGCAGTGAGATGGGTGACAAATTTGAAATATAAATAAATAAAAATAAAAAATATCACATAGAGCTGTGCAGTAGGTTTGCAGGGAGACTGCTTCAAAGAATAAAGGTTTGGCTTTGCTTTATGCCCTTCTGAGGTCTCCCCAGCCTCTCCTGGCAACTGAGTGTCGGAAGAGGGAGTGAGGGCAGATCAGGTCCCTTCACGTTCAGGAGGCGCCTTGTCTTTCTGCTACTGTACAGTATGGCTTGTTGAGATGAATTGAACAGGGTTAATATAGAATGGTGTTCTTCAAAGCCGGCAACTTTTAAGATGTGTGGACTTCAACTCCCAGAATTCCCCAGCCAGCATGAGATGAAGTCCACACATCTTAAAGTTGCCAGGTTTGAAAAAAACTGGTACAAAATTTCCTGAGTTATTAAATGGCATAAACTGTGCTTGTGTAACATTTATTTATTTAAACAACTTATATAGCTGCCTATCTCATATGGTGATCCTAGGCAGCTCACAGCCACCAATAAAAACAAGAGAAAAACAGAACAAACCCCACTAACTTTAGCAGCCCAATTTTTCTGGGGTCGCCCAACACCAAAGTGTCTGTGTAGGGCCAGTTTGCACAACCTGCAAGGCTGGTGTTGCGTTCAGCCGTAGAGTTGCAACAAACCAGAGGGTCAGCCTTCAATTCACCCAGGAATTAGCCCCGCTGAACTCTTTGAATAAGCCTGCACACCCTCCTGGTAAAGTATTTTTGAACATAATGTCAGAAAACGACAGACACGGGTTCGGTTGTCCAGTAGACAGAAGTTTTTATTGGGCACGTTTGCAAAGGTGGGTCCCTCCCGCAGCAATGGAGGAACCCCGAAGCAAGGTCTGACAGGTTTTTATACCCCCTATCTGTCCTCCCCCTCCTACGAGGGCTTGGCTCACAATCTCACCTTTTTTACCGCCCCGGAGCGCCGCTAATTAACCGCAAAACCGCAGACATTCCACTTTCCGAATCCAATCAGCGCAATACACATTCCAATCCCCACTTGACCCGACAGCCGCCCCCTGCCGTTTCTCTTCACTCTGGTGCGAACGTGCCTCTTGCCTGCAGTCTTTCCTCCCTCCTGCCGTCCCTCTCCACTCTGGTGCGAGTGTGCCTTCTGCCCATCCTCCCTCCTGCCACCCCCCCAAGGCTGCCCCATGGTGCACAGCGCTCTCCCCTAGCAAACATGGTTCGTTTGAGGCCCTCACTTCTCCCTGCCTTCTCACAATAAGCAATAGCCATCCTTGACTTTTAGTGACTGTACAGTCCATGCATTTTCGTGGCAGTGCTACGTAAGTGGTTGGCTATTGTGTTCGTTGGGGATGTTTTTTGACCACTCAATGCGGCCCTAGGAGTTCTTGGTGGTCTCCCCTTCAACGGTTGTCTAGTCCTGCCACTTGCTGGAGGCATTTATAGGGTGAAAAAAATAAAACAATTAATACTATGCCAGGGGAAAACAAGCTGTTTGTCTCTTTTGCACCATTAGCTTCCGTTTATGGAAGCTGAGCATTAGCTTGCGATCAGAAAGCACCAGGTTGCCGGCGCCCACCATATCCTCCTATGACTCACTCTCCCTTAAACACCCATTAACATTTCGCTCTGGTGTCTTCCTCCAACCCCGCGCGCCCTCCTCGCCCAGCGTGGGGATGGCAACCTCTCCCGAAGCCCCGCCCAGCCCACGGCCGTCGAGAGGCGGGCCACC